TCCTGGAACAGAAGTGTCTAATCCAGCACCACATAATGGAATGATTACAACACGCAGTGGCAGGGTCGTGAAACCACCAGAACGATATGTATAATTTTCAAAAGAACTGTTCAAGAATAGCACATAATCGCAACATCAGTCGTATGCATGGACAGCTGATATATAGTCATTGTTACTATTGTTTTCGTTGCATATACATCTCTCTCTATATATATATGTTGTTTTTTTTTACGGAAAGGAGGATGTCATGCTATATGTCATATGATACCATAGCATTGACTGAAACCCCATATCCATCTATCAGACTGTATGATACACATTCGTAGCCCGAATTGTTATACTCAAAATAAAGCCATATTTCGCAACCACCAAGGAACAGAAATCATTACACACATTTGTACACAATCGAGGCTAAGACTAGTCTCCGCCACAGCCGCTTTCAGTGTCGTCACGCAACGCTTTCAGGGAGAAAGCGTTGCGTGACGACACTGAAAGCGGCTGTGGGGGAGACTAGGCTAAGACTGAGTAAAGGCGAACTCGAAATGGGAGTATTGCACCTTACAAATTGCTTACGCAGCCACAGACAGCCCAAGTAATCGTCTTGTATACAGTAAAGGTATGAGTCGAAAAAACCATTTTTGATCGATGCAAAAACAAGTCTTTAAAATAAAATATGTAAAATGTCTTTACTGGACTTTATTTTCGTAAAGAATAATTATTATTTACAATCTGTTCATATATGAAATTTAAGTTGCCAGTGTCCAAAACATAGTTAACTATGTCCAAAACCATTATTTAAAGATATGATTTATGAAAGAATCCTCATATTCAATATTTTTTTGTTTAGCTCATCTTTTCTTCAAACTATTGATATCTTTTAAAACATTGCAATTTATATCATCTATTGACATTTTATTAAGATTAGTTTCGTTGAGGTTTCTTAGGGTTCAGCTGCCACATCAGGTTTCCAGGTGCTGATGGACGTCCCGTGTCGTTTCTTCTTTTCTCTTTCTTGATTCGCTCTTCAATTCTGAAGGAACGGCTCTTAGAGAAGCGTACGCAGATTTCTCAGGGCTCGTCTGCCATATTAGATTAGGTGGCGAAGATTGACGCTCGCGATTTTGAACTTTTTTTATTGCGATGCTCTTTAATTCTGATTGAGGGTCTTCAAGAGAGGCGCGTCCAGATTTCCTTGGGTACTCCTGCCAGATTACAGTTGGAGACGCAGTCGAGGGGCGATGATGTTTATCCTCTACATCACTCTCCACTCCAGACGCCACATCCCCAAGGGCAACAGATTCCTTTGTCCATCCATTCTGCTCTTCATCAGAACCGAAGGTGTCCACATATCCAGCCAAGCACTGCTCAATCCACCGAACATGATCATCGTGATTGTTCCCGCCAAGATCTTCAGGTAAACACGTGACAGGTAGACATTGCTTCAGTTTTGAAAGCGTGACAATTTCTATTCGATCTTGATGCCTGACACGCAGCCCTAGCAATCTGAGTTCTGCTTCCAGCCAGAAAGGTGCTGAGATGAGTAAGGTTCGCTTGAGTGGCACGGGGAAGGCAGTCTGGGAAATAAATAAGAGTATTTTTCTTATTAACTTCAACGAATTGCCTTTGCAACAGTGCAATTGTACCAATGACCTTACCTGTGCAACAGTGCCATTGTACCAATGACATTGCCTGTGCAACAGTACCATTGCACCAGTGACATTGCCTATGTAACAGTGACATTGCCTGTGCAACAGTACCATTGTACCAGTGACATTGCCTG